CACGCTCTTGCACATCCCGCTCCCATGCCACCTTTCTCACCCTTCTTCTTCTCCTAACCGCCGGGGACGTCTCCCCGAACCCTGGTCCCTCACCACCTCACTCACCCACTAGGCACCCTCCTACTCCCACAAACTGCCGCAACCCCCTCAACCCAATACCTGTCCCCCTCCTCCCCACATCCACCCCTCCATTCTAGGTTGCACTCCTGAACGCCCGATCGGTTTGCAAAAAGGTCACCGCCATCCATGACCTCCTTATCTCCCACTCCCTCAACCTCCTAGCGGTCACCGAAACCTGGATCCAAGCCACTGACTCCACCTCCCCTGCGGCACTCTCCTATGGAGGTCTCGTCTGGACCCATTCACCAGACCGAGCGGTCGTAGAGGTGGTGGGGTCGGCATGCTCTTGTCACCGCTGAACACCTTCCAGGTCCTCCCAAACCCCCCCTCTCTATTCTTCTCCTCCTTCGATGCCCACTGCATCCGGCTCTTCTCTCCCACCCCTCTGAGGATTGCAGTAATCTATCGGCCTCCTGGACCCATGTCCCGCTTCCTCAATGATTTTTCCACCTGGCTACCCCTCTTCCTCTCCTCTGAGCTACCCACCATCATCCTTGGTGACTTCAATATCCCTATCAACATCAAAAACCCGGCTACATCCCAACTCCTCCACCTAACCTCTTCTTTTGCACTCACACAGTGTACACAGTCCTCCACCCACACCGACGGGAACACCCTGGACCTCGTTTTCTCTCATCTCTGCACCCCCCACAACCTCACAAACACCCCTTTCCCTCTCTCTGACCACAATCTCATTACGTTCTCCGTCTCCCCGTCCTCAAACACCTCCCCCCCCCAAATGTCAAACCATCACCAGCCGTAACCTCCTCCGCAACCTGAACCTGGCCCCTCTCCACTCTGCAGCTGACCGACTTTACGACTATCCTTCCACTGTCCTGCCCTGACCTGGCCACTACTGCTTATAACAACTCGCTGTCAGCTGCCTTAGACTCCTTAGCACCCGTAACGACACGCAGCATTTGACCCTGACCGCTTCAACCCTGGCAGAATGACCACACCAAAAATCTTAAACGACGCAGTTGTGCGCTGGAGCGATTATGGCGCAAAACCAGATCCCCTCAAGCGTTCACCATTTACAAATCCACCTTCCTCACCTACACCTCATCCCTCCACGCCGCCAAACAAGCCTACTTCGTAACCCTCATCAATACCCTCTCCACCTGTCCTCGCCGGCTCTCTTCTCCACTTTCAACTCCCTACTCTCTCCCCCCCCCCCCCCCCCCCCTCCTCCACCCAGTACCTCACTCACCGCCCACGAGATTGCCAACCACTTCCATAACAAGATCGACGCAATCTGTAAGGACATCGCCAATGCTCAATCTACCTCCCCACCTAGCCTCCCTCCCACGATAACCCCCTCCACCCTCCCCTCCTCTGACCTCGCAACCGCCCTGACCCCCGCCACACCTAACATCCCACACACTAAAACCCCCCTAACACTCCACTCCTTCAGTCTTGCTACCACTGAAGAGGTCACTAAGATCTTCTCAGAAGCCCGCCTCACCACTTGCCCCCTTGACCCTGTACCCACACAACTCCTCCGGTCACCCTCCTCCTCCATCCTACGCTCCCTCACCCACATCTTCAATCTCTCCCTCTCTACTGGCGCATTCCCTTCCCCCCTAAAGCACGCGCACATCACTCCCATACTCAAAAAACCCTCCCTGGACCCCACCTTAGACCCATCTCCCTGCTGCCATTTACATCCAAACTCCTCGAGCGCTTAGTCTACAATCGCCTAAGCTCCCACCTCAATGACAACAACCTCCTTGATCCACTACAGTCTGGCTTCCGTCCCCTACACTCCACCGAAAACGCCCTACTCAAAATCACTAACGGCCTGCTAACCGCCAAAGCTAATGGCCACTACTCAATCCTCCTACTCCTCGACCTCTCCGCGGCCTTCGACACAGTTGATCACCCCCTCCTCCTTAATAAACTAAACTCCCTTGGCATCAGAGACTCTGCTCTCTCCTGGCTCTCCTCCTATCTCTCCCAACACTCCTTCAGCGTTACCTATAACGCTGCCACCTTCCCCTCTCTGTTGGGGTTCCCCAAGGCTCTGTGCTCGGGCCCCTTCTCTTCTCCATCTACACCTCCTCCCTTGGCCAACTGATACACTCACACGGCTTCAACTACCACCTCTATGCCGATGACATGGAAATCTACCTCTCTACCCCCTCGCCTCACACCTTCAGTCTCCGCCCGAATCACCTGCCTACTGAACGACATATCAGACTGGATGTCACTCCCCTTTTTAAATTAAACCTTTCCAAAACCAAACTCCTAATTTTCCCCCCAGCCCGCGCCCCCCCCCCCCCCCCCCCCACACACACACTCTCCATCAAGACCAACAACGCCACCATCAGTCCCACCCCGCAAGCTTTAAGTCCTAGGTGTCACTCTAGACTCAAATCTGTCCTTCCCACCCCATGTCCAATCGCTGGGAAACTCATGCAGACTCCACCTCCGCAACATCTCCAAAATACGTCCGTTCCTAACCCCAGACACTACTAAACAACTCATTCACTCCCTTATTATCTCACGACTCGACTACTGCAACTCCCTCCTCACCGGCCTACCTCATCACAGACTATCCCCGCTTCAGTCTATCCTGAACTCAGCACCCAGACTCATCCACCTTACCAACCACTCCGCATCTGCCACCCCCCCCCCTCTGTCATTCCCTCCTTTGGCTTCCAATTGCCCAACGCATTAAATTCAAACTACTGACATTGACGTACAAAGCCATTCATAACACTGCCCCAAACTACCTCCCCGACCTGATACCCAAATACCACCCAACCCGTTCCCTTCGCTCCTCACAAGACCTCCTCCTTTCTAGCTCCCTGGTCTCCTCCTCCCATGCCCGACTGCAGGACTTCTCCAGGACTCCCCCCCCCCCCCCCCCCCCCCATCCTCTGGAACTCACTACCCCAATCCATCAGACCTACCCTCATCACCTTTAGGTGCATGCTGAAAACCCATCTCTTCAAGGAAGCCTACCCCGCCCTCACCTAACAGCCGATCTCCTCCACTCCTGCTACCACTCCATCCCCCCACAGACACGTCCTCCTGTACCACTATCCCCTCCCTCCTAGATTGTAAGCTCGAAAGAGCAGGGCCCTGGAACCTCTCATATATTGTTTTGTTACTGTATTGTCTCATGTACTGTCCCCCACTATATTGTACAGCACTGAGCAAACTTTTTGGCGCAATATAAATTCTGTATAATAATAATATTCCATTTTGGAGGTTTTTCCACTGCTTCTGGAGGTATGGGAATGATTTAATACTGTCTTGTGAGAGAAGCAGTTGCATTTGATGCCTTTTAATGGCCCACCAAGTGAAGGCTAAGGGGTTCTCAAGGGCTGCAGGGAAAGAAAAGTTGTAAAGGATGCCTGAGAGTAGAAAGTGGGGGGCGAGATTAATTTGCTTAATTTTGAGTATTTGAGTCCCATTGTTTTAATGATTGCTGTAGGATCTATTGCGGGTGATCTGAGGTTTGGGGGAGTCTACAACAGATTATAAATTGGGTTAGGAGAACTGTTCATACAATCCTGGCCTATCCATTTCCCCTTGGGACTTTAAGCTAGCAGAAACTTAAAATATGTAACTGTAATTCTATAAAAGTGTTTACAATACTTTATTGATACAAAAAAATTAAAGCAGTAGAAAAGGATGATTTAAGAAAAAAAAAAAAAATATTCTCCCTGCAAGACAAAGTAATAATGTACTTGTATGCATAGCATACTAGCACATTATGAAAGATATAACCCCAAGACTAAGCCCTCCAGCGGTGACAGGGTTTCCATCTTCACCCAGTCTTCCTTCCAGGTTCACGAGCTGCAACCCTTTAAATGGCTGAGCCACGATGACGTCACTCCCGTGCATGCGAACATGAGCCACAGGTGCAGCACAGCACTCTGAAGGGACGGTGTACTCAGCCTGCCATCCTTCAGAGAGCAGTTTGCATGCGTGGGTGATATCACTGGTTGCAGACCTAGAGCATTTTTTTTCCTAAACTGTGCATGTTTAGGAGATATTCCTTGTACCTACAAGTAAGCTTTATTATAACCTATAGCTACAAATAAAAAAATGAGTTTACTACCACTTTAATATATCACATATGTTTATAAAAATCAAGCACAATGGCTCCAGTGAAAACATGATTAGAAAACAATACAAGCTGATACCCTCATGCCTCAAAACGATATCTATATGACAGAATGCACAGATAAGATCACATGATAAAAGGCATAACAAATATTGGACATCTACCTTGACTCCAATAATGCACTTGCAACAAAAGAGTATCACTGTTGGTTACCAATCAGAGCAAAATAAAAACAGATATTGTTCGTCTGAACAACAGGACATCAACACTGCTGGGGACATCCTTTGGGAACCCAGAAGAGAGCACATTACCCACTGCTGATAGCAAAAGGAACAGCGATTTCTAAAACCGCTAAAAATATTAAATCAATGAAATAAGAAATCATAAGGGAGTACAATATTGTACTCCCTTATAACTTCCGTTTTCATTGATAGCTTGGGGCCTTTGCGGAAGGGAGCTGCAATATAGTATGATAGGATCATAGTCAGACCTCGGTACTGATAGTATTTTTAGCTCTGGAGAGCTCTGGGAGAAAAGATTGCTGGACCCAGATATGGTTTACGTATGACCAAGCTGCCTTAGGCAAAGTAAGAGTATAATCCCTAATCAGAGGATTTAACCCAAAAGTATTTCATTTAAAGTATGCTTTATAGTCAATATAAGTTATCTACACTAGCCCCCTAACTCTTGGAATTCCACCTTGGGCCCCATTTTGGCAGTTTTTTAATATGGTTATTTTAATTTGTTTACTTTGAAAGCACTGTTCACAAGATTTTGTATGTTTTGTCTTATTTTCTTATAGGAATGCAACTCCAGCATGATAGCACTTTTTAATGGTTTCTGTTACTCTGGAATTTTTGGTGGCAATGTTTCTCCACCATTTGACCAGCTTTGTAGTGTCCAGGAAAAGAACCATGCACCAGACTGGTTTCCATTCCTGTGTGTCCAGTCCTCCATGGATAACTCTCCATTTCTTGGCTATTTCTATCAGGGAAACACTATGTAAGCATTTTTTTAGTGTGCAGATTTCATTGTGTATCTTTAATATTTTGTATTAATGTATGTAAAAAAAAAAAAAAAAATATATATATATATATATATATATATATATATATATATATATATATATATATATATATTACAGGCTGCAGGTTCTTCATCATAGAGCCTGGAACAGTAGGGGAGTAAAGGGAAACTATTTGCAGCTGGGAAGGGTAGCCAAGGGCAGCAAGTGATCCACTGCTCACCACAGTAAAACATCCATAGCGGCTCTAGCAATGTGATGGTGTCATCAGATACAGGCTTCTCCCCTAAATGAGCTACATTCAATATCGGGACTTCCACAGCACACATTTATTGTAAGTGTTTTAATCCCTCATTTTACCTAATACACTACATTGCCAAAAGTATTGGGACACCCCTCCAAATCATTGGATTCAGGTGTTCCAATCACCTCCATGGCCACAGGTGTATAAAATCAAGCACCTAGGAATGCAGACTGCTTCTACAAACTGCAAAAACACACAGGAGGGTGCAAACAGCTTGTGCATTACCAAAGCAGGGATGTGTAATTCCTATCGCCCGACGCCTGGGACATGTAGTTCCAGGCGCCGGGCAGGTAGTTTTTACTTCTACCTTTAGCCCTGCTGCGGGTAACCAGCAGGGCTCACCTGCCAGGTGGAAGCATTCGGGCGGCAGCACTGCCGCCCGAATGCTTCCACACAGTGCCAGCCTCCCGCCCCCCGTTTGAAGCTTTTTCCCGCCCACTGTCTCTCAGGATCCGCTTGCCCATCTGCGGGCCCAGGACTGCCCCACCGCTGGCGGCTAGAGGGGAGGGAGGAGAGCGGACACTTCCGCTTCCCTTCCCGTCTTGTCCTGACCCGGAAGTGATGTTTGACATCACTTCCAGGTCCCCATTCACAGATTCCCGGCAATTGAGGCCGGGAAAGAATGTAATGCGGTGCAATGCGCACGGCATTACATTCAGGGGAGCAGAGGGGAGACATGCAGGGTCTTTTAGACCTTGGATGTCTCAATAAAGAGAACCTGTCACCAAAAAAGCATCACATAGGGGGCATTGTCCCTTATGTGATGAAAAAAAAAATTACGTAAAAAAAAAAACAAAAGTAAAAAAATTAAGCCCCCCCCACATATACGCACGTACAAACGTAAAAGCACATGCTGGGGAGCCTACACGTGAAAACGTCGATTGCGATACACATGTTACATATCGCCGTGCACGCCAAAATGAGAGCAATAATTCTAGCACCAGAACTCCTCTGTATTGCTAAACTGATAACCTACCGGGAGCTTTAAAATCGTCAACTATAGAAAATATAGGGTATTGAAGTTCGTTGCCATTTCACGAGTGCACGCAAATTTAATGTTTGACAAGCTGGATATCTATTTACTCGTTGCAACCTCATATTTTTTATTTTGCAAAAAAATAGGGTTATTTATTGTTTTGGGGGTTTTTTTTTTTGTATTTTTTACTGAAATTTTGCGGTAATATCATGTGACATAAAAAATTGGAACTACCACTATTTTATTCTCTAGCGTCTCTGATTTTAGAAAATATATAATGTTTGGGGCTTTTGTGTAATCTTCAGGTCTAAAACTGCAAGGTTTCTCCCCTCCCTGCTAGTCCCCTGCTAGTCCCCGAGTGTGGAGACAGGCAGGGAGGGGAGGAGGAGATAAACAGTGCAATGTTAAAAACCCCTTTTGTTTTTAAAAGATTCCTAATATTACCTCCGATTTAAATACGGTTATGGTTAAATGTTTTTTTTTTTTTATCTGGAGAAGTAGATTGTCATGAGGGACAAGTAGATTTAGACACCGATTTAGTCTCCGGACAAGTAGTTTTTTTCAAAAATTTCCACACCCCCGTTTTGTGAGTATCCATTTGTCTTGGTGGATGTAATAAACTTGTCTATGATAATGCACAAGGTGTTTGCGCCCTCTTGTGTTTTTGCAGTAAATATTAGTAATTTATTTGGCTCAATTGACTTTTTTTCTTATTTTTTTTTTTTTTTGATACACAGTGTATTTTGCATTCATTTATTGCTCTTCCTTGTATACAGGAGCCCTTCACAGACTCCATTTTTCAATCTGAGCTTTCAGTCCATTGTTCAAACAACATCTAGTGGTTATAAACAAGGAAACCCCATTTTAATACAACAGAATGAATTCAGTGAATACTTTACTATCCCACAGGTACGTGAACTGTCCACTTGTGTAAATATATAAAATATTTAGTGCAGCACAAACAATGATTCAAGAATACTGCTTTCCATCTCTGTTTCATGTGATAATTGGATTATGTAAATTTAGAGTTCTAGCATTCTGTAACCGATGGACACTTCTTTAAATCTTAATGAAGAGAATGCATTTTTTCTTGTTGAATGAGAAACACAGGAAGTCTTTAAACTTCGGGTTATACAGCTGCCATCAGCCTACACTGGCAAACAAAAAAACTGTTGTCTAGTCCAGGATAACCCCTCCTACTACCAGGATACCTTTTTTATTGCTAGTATCCAAGGAAGGTGGATAGATTTTTTTTTTTTTAATTCAGTCAAGATTCTTCTCTACATCATTGCTGGAGCTTTGTTTCTACGATTGCAGCTTTCTTGAGCAGTTGCCCTCAGTCTGGTTTTTGGAGTACCACATCTAGACCCTGCTAAACTGGGTGTTGTGGGGATACCCTGGAAGTGATCTTTGGACGAGTTCTGCATAAATCAAGACCACTGTGTGGTGACACACTACTGTGTGCTGCCGTGCACCATGAAATATGCAGTAGTTTTAGATTTTTGGTCCATGTGGCGCATTAGGCTGCCTATTTAAGTTTAATGGTCTGCCCTAATGCAACAAATGTTAACGCCCTATATTAAACACACAGCAACAGACCTCACTAATGCAAAAGTGGCAGCTTTAACTTTAAATAATGACCTCACTCGCCTGTGTGCAGTACATATGAAGAAATACCTACAGGGGTTAGACAAAAATATGGAAACACTACATGATTTGCAGGTGTGAAAGTGACTACATGTTGACTGTTGAAAGCAGAAGTGATGTAACATTCTTTTGCTTCCACTGTGTGATGAGACACCTAGCTATCAGGTGGGAAGCTTCACTTTCGTCATTCACTGTGTGAGCTGCTAGTAATACGGAGTCATGCCAGAGCTTACTGAGCTTCAAAGATGGCAAATTATTGGTGCCCGCTTAGCTAGTGACTCTGCGAGTGAAGTTGCCAATTTATTTGCCATGTCACGGAGTACAGTATCAATAATTATGACAGCATATACAGTTTCCAGAAAACCGCTGTCTGATAAGCATAAGCGTGGTCAACATGGTCAATTGACTGAAAGAGACAAAGGGACATTGCTCAGGATTGTGACCCGGAATAAGTAAACAACTGCTGTCTCATGAAGACTGAGATTGAGCTCTGCTGTCACTTTTGCAGCAGTTGTTTTCTAGCAGCGCACGCAGTGAATGACAAAAGTGAAGCTTCCTAGCTGTTAGCTAGGTGTCTCATCACACAGCGGAAGCAAAAGAATGTGACATCACTTCCGATTTCAACCCAAAACATGTCGTCACTTTCACACCTGCAAATCATGTAATGTTTCCATTTTTTTTGTCTAAACCCTGTCCTTTTGTCCTTGATTTAGCAAGGTTTACTGTGCAGTCTTGCCTGTATCTGCTTCACTTTGTTTCAGAAAACATCCTTTCCAGGTCCTCTTCATCCTATACATTTGCACTGTGGCCCTTTATTTCCTAAGGGGAAATTCATACCCTGCAGGCAGCTAGAGGCTGCTAACTAACTACATGCACAAGCTAAGGATGACCTGGCAGGGATACTTTCTGATGTGCTCTTGGCTGAGCCGCACAGTTAAGATCACTGCTATTAGCAAAGAAAAGATTTCTCCAGGTGGGCTGCAAAGGACAACTTGTACCAAACATACAGTTGTCTATAAGTCATGTACTCCATGTTAATAAGTAAACTTATTTTATTGCTTTATTCAAATATTTATGATAAGTGATTGAGAGGTTTCATTAAACTAATGTTTCTGCAAGATCAACAGTTCTCGGATTAGCGGTCTCAGTCTTGTCTAATCAGATGTATGAAGAATTGCAATCTTTTTCTATTCACCTCTCTGGACAAGTAGGGCATACCCAAGCATAATTCTTGTAGATTGGGACCAGTGGTAGATTAAGACAGTTCTGGAACAGGAAAAAACTTCAGCTTTGGACCCTCATTTCAAGTACTTTATTTGATCTTGATATTCTGTATTAAATTGCATAAGAAATTTTAACTAATTACTTCATACAAAACAAATTTTTCATGTTTGAGTGGAGTCTGCAGTGTTCAATCCCTACTGTATTTAATGGCTGTGTAGTTGAGGATTACCTCTTGCCGTTCCAGTATGTCTGTGACATACTGGGTGGTGAGCAACTTAAGTAACCGAATTTTCAATATGTTAAGGACTCTGTTGAAGTGTGCATCCTGGCGGTATTAACCTCCCTAGCGGTCTGATTATGTCCATATTTCTGTGCTCAAAGCGGTACATATTTTTGCATGGAAATATGTATTTTTTTTTATTGTAGGCCTGTAATTTTTAGGAATAACTCACTGAAATCTGTCCGAGCAAGAGTCTAGTAAACATCCCGGGTATGTTACAATTTGAAACACAAAATCATAAATTATACTTTAACCACTTGCCTACCAGGCACTTATACCCCCTTCCTTACCAGGCCAATTTTCAGCTTTCAGCGCTGCCGCACTTTGATTGACAATTGCGCGGTCATGCAACATTGTACCCATATGAAATTTTGAACATTTTTTTTCTCACAAATAGAGCTTACTTTTGGTGGTATTTAATCGCCACTGGGCGCTTTACTTTTTGCGCTATAAATTAAAAATGTGCAAAAAATTTGAAAAAAAAAAAAAAGTTTATGTTTCTTTTATAAAATTTTTCAAACAGGTATTTTTTCTCCTTCGCTGATTTGCGTTGATGAGGCGGCACTGATGGGCACTGATAGGCGGCACTGATGGGCACTGATAGGCAGTACTAATGAGGTGGCACGGATAGGCGGCACTGATAGACAGCACTAATTAGGGGTCACGGATAGGCGGCACTGATATGCAGCACTGATAGGCGGCACTGATAGGTGACACTGATGATGGGTACTGATAGACGGCACTGACTGGCATCACTTCTGGGCACTGATGGCGGCACTGACTGGCACAACCCCTGGGCACTGACTGGTGGCACTGACTGGCAGCACTGCTGGGCTGCACTGGTGGGTGGCACTGGTGGGCAGCACTGGTGGGTGGGCACAGGTGGGTGGCACTGGTGGGCACAGGTGGGTGGCACTGGTGGGTGGGCACAGGTGGGTGGCACTGCTGGGCACAGGTAGGTGGCACTGCAGAGTGGCACAGGTGGGGGCACTGCTGGGCACAGGTGGGGGCACTGCTGGGCACAGGTGGGGGCACTGCTGGGAACGGGTGGGCGGGGCTAGTGGGCGCACTGCTGGGCGGAAACATGCGGGTGTCACTGCTGGGCACCGATCATCAGGGCACTGATCATCAGTGCCCTGATGATCGGTGCCGATCCCCGCTCTGACAACTGCCGGTTCTCGGCAGTACTTTCCTCACGATCTGACAGCGTGAGGAAAGTGCAGCCGAGAACCGGCACTTGCATTTCCCTGTGATCAGCGTGTCATTGGACACGCTGATCACGTGGTAAAAGGCCGGTGGGATCGGCCTTTCACCACATCACGTGATCAGCTGTGTCCGTAGGACACAGCGATCACAGAGATCGCCGGGTGCGCGCCCCCTGAGGCGCGCAGGAGAGCGCGTTCTGGGAGGACGTCATATGACGTCCACTCAGAACTGGCCGGCCGCGGTGAAGCCGTCATTCGGCTATGCGCGGTCGGCAAGAAGTTAATAAATAATCATTAAAAAAAAATAATATAATTTAAATCAATAATATAATCAAACCAAAAACACTGAAATTTGGAATAAAGTGCCAAGTTCGCACATCACTGAACAAAGTCGCAAAATCGTTTTCAGTGTCTGATGACGAATTTCCCCACGAATCATTATCACTCAATTCTGCAAGTTGTTCTAATTTACTATCGCTGTTCTCTAGCCGGTCTAAAACCGATTTTGACCTAAATGGACACTTTTTGGACGCCATGGATGTTTCTCAGTTTCCGGGCAGAAAGAACAGTAAAAATGCAGGCAGGGCACAGGACAAAGCACTAGGGACAAAATGTATGTGAAATGGTTTGATACAGTAATGTTTTACTATGTTAATTTAGTGAATGTCACTTTTTGTCATTTTCAAATTTCCTGCCGTTCCGTCCCCTGTATGTCCCGATGTCACAGGGGACGGAACCCAGAAGACAGATGCCGGAATCCGCCGGAGGACATTGCCGGGGACACTGCAGGGGGGACATCGCGGGAGCGCAGGACAAGGTAAGAGAAGAACAGATCCCGGAGCAGCGCCGCATGGTATTCCCGAGTGTAGCTCAGGGTTACCGCTTGTGGTACTGAAACTTTACCCCGAGCTACACTCGGGAATACCGCCAGGGAGGCTACACCTTGACTTTCTTCCCCAGAGATAGAGGTATATGGTATGGTATGTTTGAAAGGTGTTTCTGTTTAAAGTCTAACTCCTGTATAAAAAAAATCCCACCGGTTTTTAATTATTTACCACTCTGAACATAAAAAAAAAAGCTAGCGTTCCATTTTAACTATTGATAGCTTTCTCACACTCCACATAATTGACTTAGGGCTCGTTCACACTAGGCTGTTTTGCCAACGCTTGCCAAACGCCCCTATAGCGTTTGGCAAGCGTTGGTCCGGTGTTTGCGGAGCATTTTTAACGCTCGGCAAACGCTCCGCAAACGCCGCATGCGTTAATAACGCCCCACAAACGCCTATAATGCATTTGAGTGGTGTTACCGCTCCGCAAACACCCCGCAACCGCGTCGCAACCGCACCGCAAATGCCGGACGGGCGTTTGCGGAGCGGCACCATAGACGAGAATAGGAGGCTTCAAAGCCTCCTGACTCGACCAGAGGCGTCCGTTTTGCCGCGACGCAATGCGACGCGACGCAAACGCTCCTGTTAGAACAGCACCATGTGCTGTAATGTGCAGAATTGGCAGAGGCGTTTGGGAAGCGGTAAAAAACGCTTCCCAAACGCCTCTCTGCCGCCTGCACACAAGGCTAGTGTGAACGTAGCCTTACTGTTGAAGTTGTTTTATGTTGAAATTATCTGAGCTCTGGGCCACCCAGATTGTTTGTTTTTATGTATCTCCCCATGCTGTTGTAAAGCATATACTGTACATTTAGACATTCAGACAAACTGATAGCCAAACAATATTTTTTCCAGAAATCTACCATTGGACAATGTGTGAATGCTGCACCTGTGGCTTACTTACAAGATTTCAATGTTACGTGTGTTACTGATATAACCGCATGTTCAGATGTTCTTACAGTTGACTTGAACGTACAAGTTAACCCTGGAAATGGAGGTCAGTCCTGAAATCATTTCTCTAATATTCAGGTTTGTGATGTCTCACTACATAGTGAAGGCTATTTTTTAATTGTAAAGTATGTGTTTGCTGACCCTGGTTATAATTATAATTTTTTCAGGTCCTATCATTTTAACAGTACAGAGTCAGAACACCAGTGTGGACATTGTTAATACAGGTATAGTGTGTAACTAAACTTGTGTATCTTGATTTTTTTATTCTAATTCATCTTTATTATTAAAATAGACTGCAATGCTTCTTGCCTTTGTAGGAACTGTCCTGCCTCAAGCTGTGCAGTGCGATGTGATTGTGTCAGCAGACTACACATTCATTTGGAATGCCAGCGTGATAAAGGAAATACAAGTCTCCATCGTTACTGCTAACATAAGCTTGACTCATCAGGGTAATTTATTATCCACATTATGTCGATGCTGACATTTTTTTTTGGTATGGTGGCATTTGATGGGTAATCCAAGGATATGAAACGTGACCACTGTTTATAAGTCTGCCATCTGGTAAGACTGTTTACAGCTATTAAATGACAGTCAGCTGTGCATGTATGGTTTGCCTGCTGACAGAAGGACTGATTATTCTATAAGCATTCAAGTTAGCATTAAAGTGTAATTCCAGTAAAAACCTAACTAAGCTAAAATCTACTCCCAGCCCCAGTCTAAGCTTAATCTATCTACCTTGTAAAAGGAAAGATGTTTATACTGACCATCCTGAAGTTGCTCCGGTCTGGTCACAAGACCTTTTTAGTGGCAGCTTCAGTGTAGAGGAGAGGCAGCAACAACGGCTGCAGAACCTGGATGATGACGTCACACATAGGCTTACTATGGGACAGCCAGTGACAGCTGTCCCTCCAGTCAAGTGACTGGACCACAGCCACTTCCCAATATATAAGTATAAGTATCTTTCCTATTACAGGGTAGATAGAATAGGCTTAGAATGGGGGTGGGAGTAGATTTTAACTTTGTTAGGTTTTGACTGTAATTACACTTTAAGTGAATTTAAAGAATTGTGCCTATGAAGACATGATGGTATACTGTTGCGTGGACTGGCTGTCTCAAGGGAAACAACAACATTTGCCAGGGTCATAGAGGAGCACACAAACATTTTAAAGTGGTATTAAACCCAAAACCAAAGATGTACCAGTCATTAGATGTGTTGGATGCATTCGTTTTTCATTTTTTAGGATTTTTTCTCCACTCTATTTTCACCTGGTGATCTGGCCAGTAGTACACCTCCTGTATTAGTAAGGCACAACTCTGGATGAATGAGCACAGGAGACACAGCAACATTGTTAGTCTCGATAACAAATGAAAGCCAAACTCCAGCTCACAGTTTATAATCAGTTACAGCAACAGCTTTTTTATTTTTTCATTTTAAAAGTTTTACATGAATGTGACTCTCCTCCTGTACTTGGTGAGATGCAATTCTACTGCAATTGAAATCTGTTATGATGGTCTCACTATTGTAGTGTGGGTGGATTAAGGGAAATACTTGTGACTTTAGATTAAAAATGTAGGAATGTATGATTGTGTTAGCCATGGTAGTGTTTAAGGCTGTTTTTTTTCCTTTTTTTTTTCCCCCACAGCAAAGCTATCACAACGATTTACAGCTAAATTTCTCACCAGCAATAGTACATCAAATGTGCTCTCTGGCAACCCAGGTGAAATATTTTTTCAAATAAATATAAACTCACTTTATCACATCTACTATATTTTCTGTCGTTCGATATTCTTTAATGTGAGTATGTTGCTACCAATCTTTTTTTTTTTTTTTTCAACTTCAAATCCAAAATGGTGTAATGTAAGCTTATGAGTCTACTTGTAGCTGTTTACTGTATATGTACATAAAGAGAGATCAAAGGGGGAATATTTAGATTGACATTCACTCGATTTTTACAAATCGTTGTGTAATACAAAGTATACAGAAAAATCCTCCTGCGCTAAGAAGGGAAGGTTCACCTACTGGAAGCTGCCAGCACTTAACCTGCTACCCAAACAGTGTGTATAATAATAATGATCCAAATAGTGCAGCGCTCAAAACAATAATATATATAACAACAAATGTGCTCACATGCATAAGTGTCACAACAAATACTATTCAAAAATAAATAATTAAGTGAAATATCTTATCTATCCAAGTGCCACTCAATAATGACTCTAACATATTAGTGCCCATTTTCCAATCTGTGGGTGTACTGCATGTATTTTACATGCAGTACACCCACAGATTGGAAAAAGAAGATTGTGGACATATGTGAGTGGCTGTGTATCTTATCTTTTACCATTAAAGTGTTTGGCTTTAATACTACACTTAGAGGATTCTTTTCTTTCTGCTCACTTGGTTGGTGAGCGATTGTTCTCCAGAGGTCTCTGATCGGGGGTAATGGAAGCCCCCTAAAGGGATCCACAACGTGAGGAGAAGTGTTTACTGCCAGGGGATAAGGATCCAGAGAGATCCTGAAAGCTGTTTGGCCCTTAGGCGTCGCATTAAGGAGGTGAGGAGGCAATCTAGCCTTAGGAGGTGAAGAGGTGCTGGTGCACTGAATGTGGACACATTTTTTTGCATTTTTTGCACTTTGATTTTTTTGCACTTTGATTACACATTGCATGGACTTACTATTATTAGTTTTTTTAGTTCGTTTGAGTTTTTTGAGTAGTATATTAAGTGTGGTCACGGTATTGCACTTGGAGCACTGGTATATGTATGTGTTTTTATTATATGGTAGTTACTAATAAGGTATTATGTAAAAAAAAAAATTTGAATATATGGGCACTAATATGTTAGAGTCATTATTGAGTGGCACTTGGATAGATAAGATATTTCACTTAATTATTTATTTTTGAATAGTATTTGTTGTGACACTTATGCATGTGAGCACATTTGTTGTTATATATATTATTGTTTTGAGCGCTGCACTATTTGGATCATTATTGTAATACAAAGTATGGTGTTAGAGCAGTGCTGTCACTTGGGGTGCTGATGAGTCCTGATCCTGTCATCGGATCCAGATCTTTGAGAGGGACGCTCCTTGTTTCAGTACTCACCTTCCCCAGTTCTGGTAAGTGCAAGTCAGCTGGTACCAGCAGGGCAGAAACCTGTACACTTGCTCTCTCCTTTGCCATGGATATACAGTACTGTACAGGGGCGGACTGACAACTCATAGGGCCCCCGGGCAATAGGGGATCATGGGGTCCCTGTGTCCTTGCCCAAACTCAAAAAGCCTATGAAAAAGGTACCAGGGGCATCTCATGGGGCCCCCTATTGACCCCGGGCCCTCGGGCAGTGCCCGAGTTTACAAATGGTCAGTCCGCCCCTGGTACTCTACCTGGTGTCTGAGGTTGACCATGTGTGGAGGTGGGATGGCATTCTTCTTTTTTTGTTTTACATTTGTTTTATCAAAAAACAAGCGAGTTTCAAAAAGTTAAGAAATATATTTACCCTCCAAGTTTTGTTTTGCCATTTAGTATTAAAAATTCACCAGGAACTTGCTAGCTATTACGTTCACCAAGTACACAATATGAGCATTTAATAAATATGGAGGTTTCCTTATTAACTAGATAGGATTATGTGGTTATAACGAGAAAAAAAATGTCAAAAACTTTGGGAGATCTCTGAAACATTTGGGATGTTGCAACCATGCCAATTAAACAAATTATTATAGCTGCCAAGTTTACTTCTTTTTGTTGCAGGTTATCAATTTGGAAAGCCAGTCATAGTTGCTAATGGAAGTACTCCTTTTATAAAAAGAACTCTGAACGTCTGGAAGCCTGGTAAATTGTTGTGAATTTTTACAAAATTAAACAAGATGTAAAACATCCTACAGCTTAAAGATCTATCATTTAAAATTTTTATTTTACAGTTCTGTGCCCTACGTGACAAAGTTCTGCATGTGCCTAGCTGCAGCTATGAAAAAACCAGTCTCTTTCAAAGCTGTTGTCAGATCAGCCATGGCAGGAGGAGAGGGGGGCAGGTCAGTAATCATAACTACGATTAGAAAGCACTTGGAAACATGGGACAAAGTACTATAAGTAATTTCTAACTATAGTTTTGACAAGAGCTTTGAAGGAGACAGTTGGTTCATAGCTGCAGCTTCTTTCAGCTATGAACACTTTCCCAAGAGACAAGCAATGGCAAGAGGAATGCAGAAGGGTGGGAGATTTGCTTCAATATACAAAATGTATGGACACAAATTGCACCACAAAAATAGCATGCGATTTGAACAGGAATGCAGTATGAATCCTGTCCAAATCGCATGCAATTTTCCCACTGCTCCTGTGTGAACCCAGACTTATGATAGCCTGAGTTCACACTGGAGCGGTGCGTGAACCCTTCCCAGCACAGACACACTGATCAGCACAGGAGGCTGGATCCTCCCCTCCGTTTATACTCCTTGTGAAGGGGGGGCTGGAACACAAGCCTGCGGTATCCTCTCCGAGTGTCATCCTTGCAAGGGGAGGTCTGGGGATTTGAAATCCCGCAGCTTTCTCTCCTCTCAGTGCAGGCATGACAGTACGGGCTAGACAACATCTGGTTGGTCAGCAAAGCCATCTGATTAGTCAGCAAAGTCACGGTGCTGACCAGTCAGAAACCGTCTAGCCTGTACTGTCATCCCTGCAAGGAGAGGAGAGAGAGTGCTTTCATTTCAAATACTGGAGCTGGCTACAACAAGGGACACGACGATGTGGCAGCACAGGCAGACCATGCTGGCCAGGATCCAGTATCTGCACTCCAGCAACCTGATCATGCTCCTGGGTGAGTGAGACAACCCCATCTCCTCCATACACCACCCCATCTTCACTAAGGACAGGGACACTATCTTTAGATAATGCTGGATGGCAGGTCTTGTGCCTAGGGTGCCAATATGGGGGGAGGGGAGGAGTGTGTAAAATCGGAATCCCCAACCACAGGGAGGTTTCCTGCACCGCTCCTGTGTGAACAAGGCTAGAACAAGCCTGGGTTCACACAGGAGCAGTGGGGAAAGCAAATGCGATTTGGACAGGAATCGTACCACATTCCTGTTCAATTTGCATGCCATTCATTGTGGTGCAATTTGCGTCCATACATTTTGTATGGACGCAAATCGCACCGCAAACTATCGGTACTCTGTATCGGCGAGTACTTGTCTGAAAATATCGGTACTCAAAAGGGTATCAGAGCATTCCTAGTGTGTGTGTGTGTGTGTGTGTGTTTTTTTTTTTTTTTGTTTGTTTTGTTTTTTTTTTTTAACTAAAGGGTTTATTTGTTCTGAGTACAGGTTTTCTTTATATTAATCTATACTGTACTGTATTATTAGCAGTTTGTATTACAAATAACAGCGTGTAATGGTCTGCTTTTTTTCAGTTGGGGAAAGTTTGTGTTCCACAACTACACAGACACCTGTCCTGTTTGGACAAAATTTATTTTCTGGATGTGTCTTTAAAGTTGTCAATGAAAACTGCACTCAGCTGAGGTATGAGATTGCTGTTCAATTGTACAACAACTTTAACACTAAATTTCCTGCAAACAATAGTGTGAAGTATTAATTATATACAGTATATAGGCATTGGAAGATCACCTTACTAATATATCATTTCATAAAACACAATTTTACAATACATAAATTTAGATATTCCCCCTCCCCAACCAGCCATCCCACCCACCAAAACACCATTCTTTCCCTCTCTTGTCTATTTTCCTTTCTCTTCTTGCTCCTCTAATTCTACTTTTATTTTCCTTCTCCCCACTCATCTCATTCTTCATTTTCTATTTCCTTTCTAATGAAACCATCACCCCCTTTTTAAGCTCACATTATGGGCATTCCTGTGAGAAAAGATACAGCCACTCTGTTTCTATCAGAGGTGCCATTACACATACACTGCCTTCCTGATGGATCACGCAGCTTTGCGTGGGCTTCCACTACAGGCAGTCCCCGGGCTACAAACAAGATAGATCCTGTAGGTTTGTTCTTAAGTTATAGTTGTATGTAAGTTGGAACGGGTACATTTTTTAAGTGTAACTCCAGCCCAAAAAAATCTTTAATTTTTCGGATAGCATAGGGAAGGGTTAAAACCCCTGCAACGTTTGTTTTGCTGCCTGTGCCCCATTGAGAAGATTTCACCTTCCTTTCTGTCCCTGTGACAATTTTGGATTTTGAAAATTTTGGGTTGTTGTGGAAACCAGGATTGGTGATAAAGTTTAAGTGGAGACAACTATTTCCCACGATAACTCTTACACGAGTGAATTTCCCTTCTTAAGGGTAGATTTCCTCTCACTTCCTGTTGTCTCCCTTCATTTGTTGTCTCCCTTCATTTGTAAGTATGAGTCGTATGTAAGTCAGATGTATGTAACTCGGGGACTGCCTGTATTTAGGAATGAGCGATCAGTGATATTGGGCTGGCGCTCCTCGCTACAGTGCTGTGTCATCCATCAGCTGGACTGTGCATGTGTAAAACCAGTTCTAGAAGACACGAAGCACCACAGACTGTATGATTTAGTTATTTTTTTTGTATGTGGAAGCACTGGTCTCTGAAACAGGCCCTGCTGCCAGGAACAAAAAATGTCTATCACAAATCTGTCTCCTTCCTAGCAGAAGGACTTGGCCCCCCATAAAAACATATAATGATAAATCTTCTTAAATTCTAAAAGCTGATTTGATGAGTTAATCATGAACATGTGACTTTAAATAATGCTAACGTGAATAAACCTTGTGCTTCAAACAGTGCAATATTTTGTGCATTCCAATATGTAAATAACAATAAATATATTATCAAAAATTAATTTAAAGTCTTCTTTTGTGCTTCAAATCTTGCCAGTGCCAATTGATGTGCCGTGCCACACTCCCAGTGCTCAAGAAATGGATGTACGCTCACCTTACTCATTAGCCAGACTAAGTGGCTAATACCGCTTTTGTCCCATCAGGACTAAGTAGTAATCTCCATGCTGAGTACCGTATTTTTCGCTCCATAAGACGCACTTTTTTCCCCCCAAAAAAGGGGGGGAAATGTCAGTGCGTCTTATGGAGCGAATATGGAGCGGCCGGTCCGGTATTTTCCACCGCCGCCGTGTCAGAATACCGGGCCGGCCGCTCAGCTCTGCAGTGGGACCTTACCTGTTCCTCTATCCAGCGGCGCGCTGTCTTCCCGGCTTCTGTAGTGTATGTGACAGCCGGGTCCCAAGTGCGCATGCGCAAGAAGCGGTGCTCTTTGTGAATGGTAAGGCGGTATCTGGGACACCTGACAGATCCCAGAAGCCGCCGGACCAATCACAAAGCGCAGCGCTTCTCGCGCATGCGCACTGGGCATCCGGCTGTCCGCCAAGCGCCCACACTACAGAAGCCGGGTAGACAGCGCGCGGCTGGATAGAGGAACAGGTAAGGTCAAAGAACAACTCCGCGGAAGTGGGAGCGGGTACCTGTCAAGTTCAGGTACCCGCTCCCCCTCCGTCCCCAAAGGTCAGCAGTCATCCCCTGTACTATGTCCGCAGTCTCTGGTCATCTCCTGTACTGTCCGCAGTCTCTGGTCATCTCCTGTACTGTGTCCGCAGTCTCTGCATCCCCTGTACTATGTCCGCAGTCATCTAGTCATCTCCTGTACTGTGTCCGCAGTCTCTGGTCATCTCCTGTACTATGTCTGCAGTCTCTGGTCATCTCCTGTACTGTGTCCACAGTCTCTGGTCATCCCCTGTACTGTGTCCGCAGTCTCTGGTCATCTCCTGTACTGTCCGCAGTCTCTGGTCATCTCCTGTACTATGTCGGCAGTCTCTGGTCATCTCCTGTACTATGTCCGTAGTCTCTGGTCATCTCCTGTACTGTGTCCGCAGTCTCTGGTCATCTCCTGTACTGTGTCCGCAGTCTCTGGTCATCTCCTGTACTGTGTCCGCAGTCTCTGGTCATCTCCTGTACTGTGTCCGCAGTCTCTGGTCATCTCCTGTACTGTGTCCGCAGTCTCTGGTCATCTCCTGTACTGTGTCCGCAGTCCCTGGTCATCTCCTGTACTATGTCCGCAGTCTCTGGTCATCCCCTGTACTGTGTCCGCAGTCTCTGGTCATCTCCTCTACTGTGTCCGCAGTCTCTGGTCATCCCCTGTACTGTGTCCGCAGTCTCTGGTCATCTCCTGTACTATGTCTGCAGTACATTAGTTCAGAATTTTTTTTCCCCTGTTTTCTGCCTCTAAAACCTAGGTGCGTCTTATGGTCAGGTGCGTCTTATGGAGCGAAAAATACGGTATTTATTTCCTTCTACGAATGAATAGGCTTGTGCTACCAATTTTCTGCCACCAGGGGTCTCCCTCTCTCCTCGCTCTCCACACTGAGCCTCAGTGGATGGATGGGGTAAACCTGTATATTACTTCCTCCTGCCGGTATAATGGGGTATCATAGAAAAAAGGAGCAACAATAGTGCCTTATCCTTTTATAATTCAAGTGCTTTTATTAAAACAAAGTTGCACACTCACACTTTCCAGTGTCATACAGATGAACTTGTGCCCAGATCCTCAGTTTGTACTTGCCGCTCGTTCACTTCAGCGTCGTGACGTCAGAGCCCCTCCCCTACGCGTTACGCCACAGGGTCACGTGGCTTCATCAGGGGGAATCAATTGGACGCCACTCTACTATGCTCCTTTATATAGGCAATACCGGCACCATTTTCCCGTAGACCGCATGCACGCGGCCATCGTAATGGGGACAGTTGTCACTGTGATTGTGATGGGACAAAAGCGGTATTAGCCACTTAGTCTGGCTAATGAGTAAAGTGAGCATACATCCATTTCTTGAGCACTGGGAGTGTGGCACGGCACATCAATTGGCACTGGCAAGATTTGAAGCACAAAAGAGGACTTTATATTAATTTTTAATAATATATTTATTGTTATTTACATATTGGAATGCACAAAATATTGCACTGTTTGAAGCACAAGGTTTATTCACGTTAGCATTATTTAAAGTCACATGTTCATGATTGATATTATTTACATTGTGGAGCGCGATACATTTGAATATATTTTTTGATATTTTGATGTTTACACAGATAATGAGTATGTGTTGAGTGTTGATGCATCACAAATATATGTCATAGCTATTTTTTCTTTCATATTTTTTATACGTTTTTGCACAGGGAGAATATCACATTTTGGCTCACGAGTATTATTAATTTTATTTGATTCGATGAGTTGCCAGCTTTTAAAGTGTAGCTAAAGCCATTTTTCCCAAAGCATCTTTCAGGACGGCTACATGACAGATACCAGCTCCGCCCTCTACATGAACCACAATACTGACACAAGTTAAAAAGCCCCTCCTTCCCCTCATCCCCAGTAATTGTGTTTTCCGACCCTCCAGGTGAACAAATCTGTAGGATTTGTTATTTTTACTTTTGGTACGGGTAATTGTGGTTGCCTGCACTGCCTGGGAGCACGCTGTGCAGCACCCTTCCAGCACCCTTCCAGCACAAACACAGGAACACTTATATGCAGCACCCAGGTTTAAAGCCCACCTGCTGGACACCTCATATATGTGTTACTGTGTCGTTATGTGGTTAAATTACCTGGATGTGTCATATGTTCGTTCAACAGACTGTGAGCTCTCTAGCAGATCATCTCTCTGGAAGCTCAGGAGATGTTTTTACACAGCAGAACTATGATGGATAAAAAATCCTAGATCATCTGCAGGGAGCAGCTTCTCTTTATGTGTTTGATGCTTTTTCTAAATTATGTTTAAAGCTGTTTTCCAGGATTTCAGCCACTGTAAATTCTACTGGCTTACTATACCTTACTCCAACAAGGTGCATGCCAGCTCGTAGACTTATCTCTTTTAATCACATCTGACGGTTTTACTGAGCACTGGAAGTACAGCTATCACTGTATATGCTACCAGTGCTCTGACAGGAGAGATTCTGTCTTCACACACAGCATCCTCCCCTCTGTTGTCCATTCACAGAGGGCTTTGCATTTTGAGAATGGACTGACATAATACAACGTGCTCAGTGATTGGGCAAGAGGAAGGGCACAGTAGTTGTATACAACTTTTCAGCTTCAGGAGCTGACACGAGAAGATCCAGTGTTGGAGCACCAGAAGCATAGTGACAGCTGTACTCCTGGCACTCAGTACAAATAAAATTGTAAATGAAAGAGAAGTCCAGAAGGTGGCATACACCTCGTTGGACTTAACCCCTAGTAATCCAGAACATTTTATAAAGTGGCTGAATTCCTGGAGTTCAGTTTTAAGTTAATACTTTTCTGCATGCATAGTATGTTTTTGCATAATTATGCTCTTAAACCTGAAGTTTATTATTCTCATATTTTGCCTTCCCCTGTTCCTCTCTCCACTCTTCATCAAAATGCTAATTAGATTTTAAATAAAGTTTTACCATTTTCATGACATAGCTTATTTTTGACCCAGCGATCTCATCACTGAGTTTCTGTGCTTCCCTGTGGAAGGCAAGCAGCTTAGAGCTGATGAGAGGAGCCAGCAAGGAGCTTTATATGGCTTCCTGAAAACTTCACAGTACCCTGCCTCAGTACTGCTTTCAAGAACCTTCAGCCCTTTTGCAAGCTGTGGGAGGAGTTATACAGGTTTGAAAGGCCTTGATGTCCGAGTATGAATCTGGAGCAGCTGGCATTCCTAGGTAGACTGCATTTGCATGCAAACCACCCTAGATAACACCCACATGTGATGCTGAGCCTCCATAATTCATTGATTATTTGACTTGCTGCATCTTTAAATGCACAATGAGAAGCTCACTGTGTGCGATGAAATCAGAGTAAGCAAGAGCAGATTTCAAATGTAGCTTGATTTGTACAGCCCAGAGTTACATTAGTCATATACCATGACTTGTAAAATATCTCAACACTAAATAATTCTATGAAAAATGTAAAAGTATGTACAAGTGATTGTAATTGAATAAAATGTCTTTATTGCAGGAAGAAAGCACTACAGTTCCTGCAGTCACTGGTTACAGTCAATTACATTGCCATGAGAGGCAACTCAAATGTCAGCGACCCAAGTGAATGGGTATCTATAATCTGTGAGTATTGTGGAGCTCAGGAAAAAAGTTTACTTATGTCTGCATATTTTCTAAAATCTCTTAATATTTCATTATTTATTGCACTGCTCTATCTATATCAGTTTAGGTCTAAAGTTACCTCATTGTTTTCTGTTAATACCATTATACTGTATATGATCTAAAGTAAGAGAGTCTTTACTAATGAAACTCTGTGTATTGCTCTGGGCCCTCCCTCCTGCCAAGTGCCCTCACAGCAAGCAGCTTGCTATGGGGGCACCTGAGCATGCTCACTCCTGAGCCACTGCTCTGTGTGTCCATTTACACACAGATGCAGCTTGGCCCCTCCCCCCGCTTTCTCCTCATTGGCTCACTGGCTGTGATTGACAGTAGTGGAAGCCAGTGGCTTTCGCTGCTGTCTCAGCCAGTGAGGAGAGAGACACCCAGGACAGCTGGGGCTCTTGTGCACATCGCTGGATCGACTGGGCTCCCGTCATGCAGTGTGGCTACAGCCTCCTCTCCTGGCTCAGACAACTTTGTTAATGCATGTGCACTATCTATGGCCATGTGCACACTGACGAGGAGGGTACAGTGTTGATTTTTCTTGGCCAGCACCCTTTCTTTGAAAAATTTTGGTATAATTAATAATAATTTGGTATAAGTTATACTGTACTTGTAAATTTATGAATTGATTACTTAAGCATTTGCTACCTCTGGTTATATTTGTTTTCAAATATGATGTGGAAGAATAGGTTGTGTAAATGTATCAAGTGATATGACTTTTTTCTAGATGAGTTGCCCAATACTACATGTACAGGGATCTGTGCTGCAGAAAATGTAATGTGTTTGAAGGTACCATCGAACATGAACATTGAGATCATTACAGCTGTGACAGGTGCAGTGGAAGGAATTCCGCAGGAAGAGATTTTGGCAGCCAAAGTCAGGTAAGATCAACTGCTATGCAGTGCACTGAATATGGTGAATTTTAGCTTTTTTTGTGTGTGTTTTTTGGTCTTTCGTTCACACTCTGAATTGCATGATTGTAAACAGCAGTATGGCTTAATGTATTTTATTTGATCTGTACTTGTTTTATTATTTTTTTTTAGTTTCTCAACTATTAATGTGGAGTGTGTATCTGCCTGTAATGTGTCTCTGCCACTCACAAACTCTGTGCAGTTCATCCAAGTCCCAGCTCAGCCACTTCCTACTATCACAAGGTAAATCAGGTGTATGATGCAAACAAAAGCAAGATGTCCTGAGAGCTGTAAATGCACTGATGTTGCCTCTAATGTTATCTTCTAGCCCCCTAACAGGTATGGTAAGTTAGTTCCAGCTGAAAAATATGCTGCTCATAGGCTTGATGACATCATTGTTTTTGTAAGGCAGGCCATAGATGATGCTTTTTTTTTTTGCTTTTTTTTAAGTTAAACCACAGGGTTGAATGAAAACATGATTTAATTTCCCCATCAACATACTCGGTGTTGATGGGGGAATCCCTGCCATGGAGCTATTGTCAGAATACAATGATCCATGTTGCTGGCTATAGCTGATGGCACTGATCGAGCCGTCATAGGTTGGTTGTACAGAAGATGATAGAAAGATCGACCTGTGTTCAACCAGCCTGCCCATAGATGGATCCCCACTGAACCAGCCAAATTTTGATCCATCGTTGGTTGGCTTAAGCACAACTTCCCTAGGGCAAGCTGTATTCTAAGCACTGCAGAGCACTTATTAAACTGGAAAAGACTTTGCAGGGAAGTCATTAAGAGTGTCATAGACAGTCTTTAGAATTTCGGCAGAACTCGGCACCGAAAGTGGTGGTGCTTGCGCCCCGTTCATGTACCTATCAGAAACAGGTATGTGACTCTCTCATTGCCCACATTGAGGTTGGAGCATCTGTACTAGACACTCGTGCCTCAGTGCACTTCCTCCTCGCCCACTGTGCCCATCACACTGACAAAGCAAATGGCGAGAAGTTTTGTATTAGGGATAGCCAGAGCCTGAAGGGGAACTAAGAGAATAGTTTCCCTTCAAGTCGGCTTTACTTTACTGGGAAGCTGATAGTCCTGGGAAAGGAGAAAAACAGTCCGCTACCGAGATAATGGCCACCAGGAAGAGCAGAACTGAGCAGACCAGAAACCGCTATTTTAAAGGGCCAGTCACATACAAAGAGAATGATCCATTTGAATCATTGATAGTGAGATTATCGGATAGGAGAGAGTCAATATATGAAAGAAATAATACCCTCAGGAATCCAAATCTAAGGAAATAAACATTCTGAGCTGTAAGAGGGCAAGTCACATAGTGGAGGTGAGCACGAATTTTGAATGGTGGTGGATTATGCACCTATGCATGAGTTTGGAAAAGCACATGGACTCTAATTTATAAAATTGCATGCACTATGGACATTTTTTATAAATTATATGCACTTTAGGAACAGCACTTTATTTCAATATTTGTGTGATTTATGAGATTTATATATTGTTTGGGCACATGTGGGGAGAGATTCTATATGCACTTGCACTTTGATAGTATTAGCACTTTCACTTCATTTCAAGGTTATATGAATATATAAATATTTGAAAAGTTTTTTGCACTTTAGGGAGGCGCAGCAATATATATGTTGATGGATTTACTTTTGATTGAGAGAGCACAGGAGCTCTGCAAATCCATAACAGCTATTCAGTCCAATAGTAGGTTTTGAATGCACTCACTGCCATGTGCTGTCAGTTAAAAGTAAGGCAGCCTTGATGGGGAACAAGTCTATTATCAGGTTTCTCCTTCTCACAAGTCATTTTCAAAATATGGGAATTGCCATATTTGGGTAATGATATCATCACTTTCCCTAGCTCCTTTGTCCACATTCTAATTGGGAAATCTCCCAGCTGACTACTGAATGGGACAAAAATAAAGTTCTGTGCAAGAAGCTGAGACATTCATGACCGTTTCACAGCACAGACATGCCCAACTCTGAGTACTGGCATATCTCGGTACACCAGCTCAGAGATGGTTACTTATACTGACAGTTTCCTCATCTGAGAACTGGTGGTAATTCTTTAACAGTCAGGTTGTTAAAGTGACATTAATGTTCCCAACACTGGTGCATAATGCCTGCCTAATTAGGTGCAAGTAGTTCTTAAAGAAATATATATATTTACCACTGCTCAAGGTAGGGAGACTCCCAGTCTCCAAGTACAACTCCTCCTGTAGGTGCTAGTCCAGCTCATGTGCTGCATAGATGAGAACACAGGACTTTCAGTCAGCTGTACTCCAAACAATCCACTTTATTGAACCAAGATAAAACCAATACAAAAGTGGAAATACAGTGGCAGATAAACGCGTTTCACGCTAAAGACAATGCTTATTCGTTACCCCAGTTCTTAAGGAAACTACTGCTAGAAATGCGTTGTTCTAGCTTTTTTGAATTACTCTGTTTAACACCTTCCCGCCTGGCCTATAGCAGATTGATGGCCGGACGGGACACTCGCCATTGTGACATATGACGTCCTTTCAAAACAAGCTGCTCACGGGGCCGCGCAGTGGCGCGATCTGTCACCGGCTATGACCAATCACAGCAGATCACATGTCGATTGTAGACAATGGATGGCTTCCTGTCATGCCATCGATTGTATACAATTATGTTGTAAGCTGTGACTGGTCAAGGCAGTCACATGATACAGACAGGGCCAATCACAGCCCATCTGTATCATGTGATCAGCTTTCCCAATCGCAGCTAATCACAACAGACTGAATGAATCAGTTTCATTCAGTAAAAATGATTGCAAAGATCAATGAAATACATTGTTAATAGCAATCATAACGTGTTAAAAAAAAAAATCCTGATCACTTGCCCTGAGTAGTTCAGTGTTACTATGGTAACATTGTATTGCTTTGGTCACAGTGTGCTGAAAAAGAAATAGTAAAAAAAAAAGAAAAAATGTAATAAAAAATAATAGAACCATTTGAAAAAAAAAATACAAATTCAATTACTATTATTATTTTCACCAAAGAAATGTAGCAGAATACATTTTGACCTAAATTTATGAAGCAATGTTATTTATTTGCAAAATTTTATAACCGAAACAAAGAAAAGTGCGTTTTTTTCAGGTGTTTTTTTGTTTTATTTAACAAAAAAATAAAAACACTCAGTGGTGATTAACTACCACCAAAAGATAGCTCTTTGTGTGAAAAAAATGGTAAAAATGTCATATGGGTACATACCACGCAATTGTCATTCAAAGTGCAACAGCACTAAAAGCTGAAAATTGGCCTGGGCAGGAAGGGGGTATAAGTGCCCGGTACTGAAGTGGTTAAGTGTATGTGCGAGTAGAGACGGGTGCAGAGCAGCAATCAGGAAGCTAAAGCTGGCCATAAACCGTGCAAAATTTATCTCTGGTATAAATTTTGGCCCGTGACCCTATTGGAAAATTTTAAGCTGAACAGCAGCTGCATGCAATCAACCAGCAGGGGCTGGCTGTCAAAGTACAATAACCACAGCAGGAAATTCATCCATCCATCTCTATAGCCTGAGTGGTGTTCTTCAGCCTGTACACTGAACAAGGAAAAAAAAAACTGTCTGTATGACTAGCTTTACAATGTCTTACCAAAGGAAACAATAGTGGTTGGAGCAGGTTTTCCTACTTTTCCTACTTTTCACTGATTTTATTATTTTTTTCCCCTGGTAGTGGATGCCTGGTGATAACTGTCAGGCATACTGCACAATAGGAGTCAAATGCAGGAGTATAATATAGTTAAACAGAATTCTGTCCCCTGTCCCTCTTTTTATTCAGTAATGTCATTTTAATTCCTACATTTTGTTGCCAAGTCAGTGTTAATTACTTCTCCAATGCTTTCAGATTCCAAACGAATTATACAGAATATGACTGTGAGAAGAATGATGTGTGCTGGCAACACCTTGCTTATCCTTTTACAAAATACTACACAGGTATATACAGTCATCTTTGCATATACTTTTTTTCACATTACCTTCATTATTAGTACCGGAGTACCGGAGGCCATTTTGTTGTGGCCGTCCAATTAGAGAATTTTTGCTCCAATATAATCTGTCCAGAAATGGCAGTTCAGTACTTCCTAAAAACGTCGCTCTGGTGAAACGTACTGTACGCCGTCACTTCTGGGTCCCATATGACTTTGTCATGTCTGGCCCATGGAACGGAGGCTTGGAATGCCTGCCAACAAAGATGGTGCGGTGACTAACATCTAATATAAGCTGTATACACTGGTGCCGATAATATAGGCACCTGGTAATGTGAGTGCATTTTTTTACTTTTGTGTGTGCAATACCGTAAATAAATACTACACTTAGATGCTGTTAATGGATGTTCTCTGCTTCATTACGAATATGCCATATTAAGCTGATCATTTGAAGAAATACATGGAATCCATTCCTTGACCTAAAGCACCCTTGGGAGATCATACGCTGTTTGACCTACTTGTAAAAAGGGGTCAAAACCCTCTAGTGAGTGCGCGTTTGAAGGGCTTACATCATTGTGTGGTGTTGGGTTACACACTCTGGTAGACTTTTACTTTTATTTCTCATTTTTATGTGTTTTCTACTCTGCACAAGTTTGTATTTTTATGTATTATTAGTTATGCTTTAGTTGTCTAAATGGGGCCGATTGTAGCCTCATTCTCACATTTTAACAGACAAAAGCAAAGCCTCCTGTATTTTTCTGCCACTAAAGCACAATTTTTTGTAAACTCACCATCCTGTAGTTCATGAACATTCCAGGAGAGTTGTACAACCACCACATCGGGCACCAAAAATAATTAAATAAAGTCATTCAGAATGTGCATCTATACTGTATAACATTATAATGGTTGAACAAGGACAACCTTTTACCCATATCATGCTTCATATATTGGATTGCTTCCACATAATTTACTGTTTATGACTGTGCTTTAATGTGCAGGCATACCTAATTATTTGGTTTGATTAATTAAGTAATATTTTCTGTCTTATACAAGAATTTTAAGGGGTTTGTGGTACATACTCTGAGTAGAACAAGCAGTGTCTAAAAAGACAGAATGGAGCTTTTCTGGTTCACCATTTAAATTTATGTTACTACCTATTAATCATCACAAGAGGAAATATTATTTGCATTATAATCTACTCACTCTAGTGATGGCTATAAAGCAACTTGGTGATTTAAATGACATTTAATAACAATCTGCACATCTGTGGTGTCAGAGTCTGCTGCATCACTTTTTTTTTTTGCATAAATTAGTTTCACGATCTCGCAAAAAGATTGTGTGCTGGGAACCAAAGCAATTTGTAGACCTAGGACAACAGCATGACTACATGTGGCCCTTAGGCAAAGGTGAAGATGCTTTTCCAGGGCTGGCCAAATAAATGTAGAATTCAGAAACGAGTAAGACTGATCTCTGAGACATGCATTAAGAACAGTAGAAATGTAAAAAACTAATTGATGTTTCTGTCTCATTTTAGGGGAGCCCTACCATCTAACACTAGCCAAAGGTATGATCCTAGTGTTCTTCTTTATAAGTGCCACAGTCCTAGGAGGTCCATGGAACAGAATACGTAAAGCCTGGAATAAAACACTGTAATCCTGAATGATTTCTTGCAGTAATATAAATCTATGTAAAACACTGTATATTTTTTAACTTTTAAATAAAAAAAAATTAACAGCTCTGTTCTTGATTTTTAAATTATATGGTGTTATTTATTTTGCTAGATACCTGCACAGATCCACGTGAATGTCTTTGCCTAGCCTGTGTATATTTGATTTATTGTCTGGACACTGTACTCATGGGGCTTAGTTATACATTTTCTGGTATCCAACAGTAACGAGAAACCGGCGCTAAAATCTCTCTTGCTGCACTCAAAATGAAATCTTGCACTTGCTGAGGTGCCGCCCTTGGTAGATCGGGGAATCTCGATGCTAGCAGAAAAGAACAAAACAGGGCGCACTCTCCTCGTGCATTAACGTAATAATGTGAAATTTATTTAAAAAACCAAACACATACTCACAAGCCAAAAAGGTCATAAAAACTGAGACAAGAAGTCAAAGGATGCCAGTCGTGGACAGCATGGGTACTCGGGTAAAGTGCTAACGTGTTTTGGGAGTCGAACTCCCTTCCTCAGAGCAATAGATGAAGGCACAATGCATGGGAAGGATCCTTATACATGGGACTAAATGGCAGTGAGAACATTTTCTGGTATATTCTCATTCTCATTCTCTCTCTCTCTCTCTCTCTCTCTCTCTCTCTCTCTCTCTCTCTCTCTCTCTCTCTCTCTCTCTCTCTCTCTCTCTCTCTCTCTCTCTCTCTCTCTCTCTCTCATTTCTCTCTCTCTCTCATTTCTCTCTCTCACTCTCCAGAGCTCAGTGAATTCAAGGGTGGCACTGTGATAGGTTGCCACCTGTGCAATAGTCCATCAATTAAATTTCCTTGCTACTAAATTATCACAAAGTGAAAGCAACTGGGAACAACAGAAACTCAGCCACAAAGTGGTAGGCCACATGACAGCGGGATCAGCGCATGCTGAAGCGCACAGTGCGCAGAAGTCGCCAACTGTCTGCAGAGTCAATAGCTAAAGACCTCCAAACTTTGTGTGGCCTTCAGATTAGCACAACAGTGAGTAGAGAGCTTCATAGAATGGGTTTCCATGGCCGAGCAGCTTCATCCAAGCCTTACATCACATCACCAAAGGGTCAGATGCAGTGATGTAAAGCACGCCGCCACTGGACTCTAGAGCAGTGGAGACATGATCTCTGAAGTGACGAATCACACTTCTCTGGCAATCCGATGGATGTGTCTGGGTTTGGCAGTTGCCAGGAAAACCGTACTTGCCTGACTGCATTGTGCCAAGTATAAAGTTTGGTGGAGGGGGTTTATGGTGTGGAGTTGTTTTTCAGGGGTTGGGTTTAGCCCCTTAGTTCCAGTGAAGGAAACTCTTAAGGCATCAGCATGCCCAAATATTTTGGACAATTTCATGCTCCCAACTTTGTGGGAACAGTTTGGAGATGGTCCCTACCTGTTCCAACATAACTGCGCACCAGTGCACAAAGCAAGGTCCATAAAGACATGGATGAGCGCGTTTGGGGTGGAGGAACTTGACTGGCATGCACAAAGTCCTGACCTCAACCCAAAAGAACACCTTTGAGAAGAATTGGAGCAGTGACTGGGAGTCAGGCCTTCTCGTCCGACATCAGTGCCTGACCTCAAAAATGTGCTTCTGGAAGAATGGTCAAACATTCCCATAGACACACTCCTAAACCTTGTGGACAGCCTTCCCAGAAGAGTTGAAGCTGTTTTAGCTGCAAAGGGTGGGCCAACTCAGTATGAACCCTACAGACTAAGACTGGGATGCCATTCACGTTCATGTGTGTGTAAAGGCAGGCATCCCAATACTTTTGGCAATATAGTGTGTGTGTTTTTTAATGCAAATGCAGTGATTACTGGACCTGGTGGTTTTTTAAAGGATAAATTCACCTTTTGGAACTTGTCACGTGTTCCACCATAAAAACAAGTGAAACATGTTACAGCAGCTGCAACCTCTCCCTCCTTCCCCCCTCCCTGTGACAACAGGTGGGGAATCTGTCAAAATTTCAAAACAATGCGGCCATGCGAGGCTCCACCCCCACATGGCCTCATTATTCATTCCGTTTCCTGTGAATGAATACCTTCAGCCATTGCGGCTTAGTCCATTTATTCTTCCAGCTGTCAGGTAATTGCTTTCCCGTATGAGGGGAAGGGGCAGACAGCTGAGATTGTATATGCGATTTGCTGCTCATGGGTGCAATGCTCTGCGGGCTCCTTAGAAAAAAATTATAAATTGTGCATTTTTTTTTATCTGCAAAAAAAAATGTGTGTGTTTGTGTGTAAAATATATATATATATATATATATATATATATATATATATATATATATATATATATATATATTTTATATATAATGTGGGTTTTTTGGGTTTTTTTTTTTTTTCAAAAGATGAACTTATCCTTTAAGATGGACAGAGTGTCAACATTAGGTATCAGTCCAAACATAGACACAGATAAAACTGTTACATCTTTGACTATATTTGGACTGATTTACAGGCCTTTGAGAATTGTTAACTATTTTCTTTGGTTCTCCTCTCGATTCTAAAGAGCATCCTAGCTGATATCAACACGACATGGACTGCACACTTGCTGCCTCCTTGAAAAGGGAATATCAACCTACATCTAGAAGACACACAAAAGTAATGAATCCTTTCTTTATTGTAAATCACAGGACATCTTCATATTCATGATGATAGGGTTATACTGCCACCTTCAGGTGATTAGACACTGGAAAAAATAAAGACAGTCCCCTCTTAGGCATAACCCCTCTTCGTTAGGCAAGGCTTCAGTTTTTTTTTTTTTTTTTTTTGCTAGTGTGTTGGGTGATGGTCATGTCTGTGCAGTCTCTGCACAAAAAACATAGCTATTGTCTTGATAGTTCCACGTTCCACCTAAGGTTTGAGGACAAGCTCTTTCTGGGTCCATTTCCTACAGCTTCGCTATGGTCAGAGGAATGGAGGAATGGTACCTGGACACCACTCTGAACAGGGATGACCTGTAACATTGCTGGTTTGCAATGGATCCTGTGGAAAGGAACTTTGCTTTGCCTGCCATGATGGAAGAAGATAGGACCCTATAAAGGGTCCTGTGGCAGGACTGGTGACTGCCCTGGGGTAGTCCGTACTGGTACCCTCCCTTGGTGACACCCCCGGGGCAGGACAGCCTGTATGCCAACATTTGGTATCAATCCAAACATGGACAAAGATAGAATTGTTACAACATTGCCTATAATTGGACTGATACCAAGAAATGAAAAAAACTGTGTCCCTCAATGCTAGGTTTTTATTCGTAGTGTAAGACTACAGGTCACAGTAGTGTAGTGTTTTATGTCTACGCTGTCAGCCTCCTGGGCATTACATAGCACAGGAGTGGTCCTGGAGGATCTGAGCGCCAAATTCAGGAAGTGAAAAGTTTTTCTCCACCTCCTGTATTCACTGTAGAATGGCCACGGTCACATGTGCACTATTGATGTAATGTCACAAGCAGGTCAGTGCATTCTGGAGGCAGACATTTTGTACTGCAAGTATATCAGCAGTACAGGCTCTGGGGATGGAATCTAGCACAAACCCTTGAGGGGCTGCAGCAGAGTATTTCTTGTGGGGCTACAAATCATAGCAAGTATTGAGGGGCCACTCCACTTTTCATTGCGGAGGCAGTGGGCATTGCCAGATCTGGTGGGAAATCTGGGGTACCCAGCACACTGGTGGTTTTTGGCACAGTTCCTTCTCGGCTGACATGGACTGCTAAAGCGTATGGCACAACTGCAAACCCACCAAGATATGGCCGTCCACCTAAACTGAAAAGCTGGGCAAGGAGAGCATTAATCAGAGAAGCAGCCAAGAGGCTCATGGTAACTCTGCAACTCCACAAATCTGGCCTTTATGGAAGAGTGGCAAGAAGAAAGTCATTGTTGAAAGAAAGCCATGAGAAGTCCTGTTTGCAGTTTGCGAGAAGCCATGTGGGAGACACAGCAAACGTGGAAGATGGTGCTCTGGTCAGATGAGACCAAAATGGAACTTTTTGGCCTAAAAGCAAAACACTATGTGTGGCAGAAAACTAACTGCACATCACCCTGAACACACCCTCCCCTCCCTGAAACGTGATGATGGCAGCATCATGTTGTGGGGATGCTATTATTCAGTAGGGACAAGAAAACTAGTCATGATGTTGATGGGAAGATGGATGGAGCCAAATACAGGGGAATCTTAGAAGATTACTTGTTAGAGTCTGCAAAAGACTTGAGACTGGGGTGGAGGTTCAACTTTCAGCAGGACAACGACCCTAAACATACAGCCAGAGCTACAATGGAATGGTTTAGATCAAAGCATATTCATGTGTTAGAATGGCCCAGTCAAAGTCCAGACCTAAATAAAATTGATAATCTGTGGCAAGACTTGAAAATTGCTGTTCACAGACGCTCTCCATCTAATTGACAGAGCTTGAGCTATTTTGCAAAGAAGAATGGGCAAAACTGTCACTCTCTAGTTGTGCAAAGCTGGTAGAGACATCCCCAAAAAGACTTGCAGCTTTAGTTGCAGCAAAAGGTGGTTCTACAAGTCATTGACTCGGGGGCTGAATACAAAGGCACACCACACTTTTCACATATTTATTTGTAAAAAATGTTTAAAACCATTTATCAATTTCCTTTCACTTCACAATTATGTGCCACTTTGTGTTGGTCGATCACATAACATCCCAATAAAATACATTTACGTTTCTGGTTGTAACATGACAAAATGTGGAAAAGTTCAAGGGGTATGAATACTATTTCAAGGCACTGTATGTATGGCATGAGCATTTCCTTATAGTCTGTGAATTGAACTGTTTTTGCTATTCCGGAACCAGTCTTCTTTCTGCAATAAATACATAAAAAAAAAAAATTGGGAGAAAAATTTAGTCAACATTTATTAATAATTCCTCAGCATAATCCTTTATTTAATTAAAAACATTTATCTATATACCTTTCTTCATTATTTAGTGCAAGTTTCCTCTTTATAGTCCC